TATTCAGGTTTACTTTATTGAACTTCTTTGGTGTATTTGAGATATTCGTGAAGCCGATCCCCACTGACATCTTATAATTCGAAAAATCCATGAACTTGTTAAAATAACAAATTTCAGCTTGTTTATTATCTATAAAAAAAAATTTTGGTTCCGAAAAATCTATAAAATTTTTACTTTATAAACGTTCAATCACTAACCCTTATTTCCCATCAACTCGGTGATATCGCAAGAAAATAATATCCAATTATCAGTGTCGTTCGTAGATTTAACTTCGATTTTCCAGAACGTATTTGCGATCGAGGAAAATGGATTAAAAGTGTAAAGCATATAACGATAACTGAGAGTTATACATAAGTGAAAAATATTTAATAAATTAAAAATCCATGCCAAATTTAACATTTCATGTGACAAGATTGAACAAGAGGTTACAGGAATTGTCGAAACAACTACAAAGGTTGCTTGATTATTCCAAAAGATTGAGTTTTGAAATGCTGTAAAAAATTCAATAATATTAAGAGTCGACGTTTCTTTAATGATGACGATACCAGCTGGGAAAATTCTTCTTTCCAAAACAGTCTGATTCAGATGAACTATATTTTTAAATTGTTGATAAGCAGAAGAATTTAATAAATTACTGAATCCATCCTTATTAAACATTAACAATGCAGAATAGGTGCTCTTTAAAAATGATATTTCACTACTCGTCCATTCACCAATCATTAAAATATATTTTTCATCTTGATATTGGTTTAGAAAACATTTTTCAAGAATAAATTTCTGAAAAATAATTTAGTTATAATAAATTTAATGTAGCTCGCCAAATTCATACCATTTGGTTTGCAAATCTGTTTCTGCAATCTACATTTTGTTCATTGTTTTGTAACTGTTTCCGAACCATCATCGACGTTTGAGATAGTATTTCGACAGTTTCGAATGTTTGAAAGTAAACAAGAAGGACCCATAACCTCATCGCAGCAACGAAAATGAATTTTTCTTTTTTTTTTGTAAAGACCTTGGTGTTTAGTTACGCACAGTATGAACAGAAATGTATACATACGTCGATACTTACAATGCAACAATATAGTAAACACATATACCCAGCATGGCAACGTCTCTATTTATCGACATTCGAATATGCAGTATTTTTCCCTTCAGTTGTTGATCGACGATGCACAAACATCGGGGATGAGTGTCGATGTGATGAATAATTTTGAAAATGATCGAATCTAATAGTTTGAAAGATAATTTTAAGACTTTCTTGAAGTATTTCAAAAAAGTTGATCTAACATGTAGAAATTTGACCATTTATTTAAATCATGTTTAAAAATGGTTCGTAACGCTCTTGAATTGTCGTAGATCCAAAAAATGAGTAATGACAGCATGAGGTATGGATTTTTTAATAAGCCGATATTTGAATAATAAGAAATTTACGCTACAATAATGACTACATATCCTTATCAACGCATCCATACCATAGATGGTCATAAATCCATGTCTCTATACCATTTCTGGGTTGGAGTTTTTATGAGTATTAATCTTAACAAATCTGCAACATTCTTGGGACTAATTTATAAGAGCTCAGTATTAGATAACGGTGAGATGTTTCCATCAAATACGCTGTCATTGATTGAAGCTTTTCGAGTACAGAAAACAATTCGAGAGAAGGAGCGTAGCCTCGTTATATGTACTTTATAACTTTTAAATGTTAATTGACCTCGATAATTGTACATTTCTACTTCGATTTTCGTATACTCTTTAGTCTATAACTTGTCTAAATTAATTATTTTTAAAAAAAATAGAATAGTATATTTTGCACCTAGGGAGTGAAAAACTGGAAAGTCTCAGGGCACGCAGAATTTATCATCCGAGACAAAGCCGAGGCTGATAATCACGTGCTCTGAGACTTTCTTTTTTCGCTACATAGGTGCAAATACAATTTTTTGTGAATCCCCCGGCCTAAAGTAACATTTTCATTTCGCTCAGCGGGAGTAAAATGTTACTTTAGGTTGGGTTGGCACAAAAAAATACATTATTTACATCTTTTGTCACTAGGTTGGTATATCGATAGTAGATACAGATACTAACTTGATAGTAGATACTAACTTGAGTTATTAAAAAGAAAAAAATTTCACTACCGACTAGAGTAACAATGAAATTGATAAATTACAGGGGATGGAGTGTAAAAAGTCAGTATTAAAATTTGATTAATTTAATATTATAAAAACGGCGTTTTCTTTTAAAAGCGAGAAACTTTGTCTGTACTTGGTTTATTTATCAATTCTAAAATAAATACGAAAATTGCAAATACAAGACCTCCAACTATCATTGAAAATACAAACTTCATTTCTTCCAATCTCAACGTCATTTCCTCCTCGTGATTTGTATGACCATCCATAAAAATGGATTCAAAATACTTGTCTGTAATTCCAGTCTCATAGAGTCTCAACAAGACAAGATTGAACTTTGTCAGCAAGCTCCAATCTGATCTTATCGGATAAACAACGGTACGAGTGTTGAGCAGTGGCTTGGAAATGTGAATTAATTTTGACTCGTGGCCACCATTGGTACGAATAAATACTGTTCCTCCGACGCAGATCACGCGATCATCGCGCATAATTCTGTCGACGCAAGCGTTATAATCGTTGTACGGTATCACAGTCTTACCCGTGATTGTGTTTATTTGATTCGCCAGAGGGGTATGAACGTAAATAGTCAATTTCTCATCGTTTTTAAAATCATCTATAGTCTCAATGGTGGACTTGTAGTCGCTGATAGTATTGACGGCACTGAGCAGACTTTCGAGATAGACACTTGAACACGATGTCATCAGAATGATGGTGCACATGAGTATCCGCTCGGACGAATAGCGAGCCCGTTGAAACATATTCTTGTCCATGGACGACGTGAATATTCGTATGAACTCAAAATACGAGATGCTCCAGGACAGCTTCAGGATCCCTTTTGAAACTACTACGAACATTATGAAAGACAGAATTATATTTATGAGAATATCCGGATCTACTGCAGAGATGAACTTCTGGGTGTCGCTGACTTCGCATTTGCGCGACACGACGTGAATGTCGCTACCCTTGATAAAATTTGTTTGTAATTTCCAATGTTCAGCGACGGTATTTACTCGGGTTATGACGTCGATTTTGCCTTCGACGAGGTCGAGAAATGCACCCTGGGGCTTGCCATTGGCATCTAGTGCTGGTGCCACAGTGTACAAGTTCACATCGTAACTTGCTCTTATGTGACTGATCACCATTTCCATTAGACCCGGGTAATTTTCCTTGATTTCAGAGAGCTCAATTTTGGATGATCTGGGAACGTACATCGATTTGTTTGCTACCTCGGCGCCAAATGATACTTTGTAATGCGACAAATCGATCGTTCTGTCGAAATAGCACTTTTTACTATCTATAGAGTGAAACGAATTGATAACTTTCAAAATCAAAATAAAATTATAACCTTAAAAATATTCAATTACTAACCCTTGATTATTGGTAATTCAGTAATGTCACAACTAAGCAATGTCCAGTTTACAGGGTTGGTTGGCAAATTAAATTCTTTTTTCCAAAAGGATGTGGCTACTGAAGAAAACGGATTATACGTATAAAGTATGTCACTGTTACTCAAAGTCATGCAAAGATAAAATGTGTTTAGGAGTTCGTATTTTGAAGCCGAATTCAATACTGAATATGTTGAAGGACAATTAGTTTTGGGATTCTTATTTACAACTAAGAAAAATGCCTGACTGTTCCAGAAGATAGAATCTCGGAAAGATTCGATAAATATTGCAAAATCAAATTCTCGAGTTTCGTCAATGACTACGATACGCGCAGGATAGGTTTTACTTTCCAGTACTGTCTTATTGATTTTAACTATATTTTTTATACGTTGAAAATGAGTAGTTAATAGTAAATTATTAAATCCAGTCTTATCAATTATCCACGAAGAAGAATAACTATCACGTAAAAACGATAATTCGCTGATGCTCCAGTTGCCAATCATCATTATATATTTTTCTCCTCTGTACGATTGAAGTAAACAATTATCAAGAATAAATGTCTGAAAAATAATGAAATTACAGTAAGTTTAATGTAACTCGCAAAAACCTTACCATTTTCGTGGAAAATCTATTTCTGAAATCTAAATTGTTCTTGTAGTTTCGAATTTTTTGTCCATCCATCTCCGATAATTGAAATGGTATTTTGACAGTTTCGATTGTTTGGAAATAAACAAGAAAAATGAAAAACTTCATAGCCTGCACAACAGAGTGCCTGTTTATCGGTATTTGAGCGTAAATTATTTTCTCGCGCAGTTGTTGACCATCGCTGCACGAGCATATCGGAGATGGTTATCGATGTATTAAATATTGCATTCGGGCTTATTTAAAACTACTTTTTATTTTAACACGAGTTTCATCAAAATGTATCGAGTAAGAGAATTTACTTGGATGTAATTCGAAAAATTCCATTAATTACAAGAACGAATGGATCATAAATTTGTACATGGGGTTAACGCTCGATTTCAAAGCGCTTTGTGTTAACTTTTTTTCTTGTTTCATTCTTTCTCTTGCGAACATTCCGTTCTGCAAGCTCTGCTATTTTCATCGACGACACCTCGCAAGTGTCTAGACTAGACTCTACGTATTTACAGTCATTTTTGTTCAATTTCAAACTCGTAACAGTGACATTTGTTTGTTTATCATATGATGAATTCGATTGTCAAGAAATAAAATAAATTCAATAGAGTTACTTTGGTATGGGAGACTATCTGTCTACATTTTTAAAAAATGCTTCTGACAGTGCTTGTAATGATGCAAAACGAGACTGTCGCCATCTATCAGTGAAATTATAAAGTAACTTGGTCTCTTACGTACCGATTTTAAACCGACTGTAGGTAAAAGTATTGGTGCAGTGTAGAACTGAGAACATCTTTCAATTTTTCACAATATAATTATAAAATCTTTGTATTTATCAATATGATTTACTCACCTCTCATTCTGCATTCGATTATTTTGTCTGATCAGCTCGTCCCTTTCTCTCTCTTTCTGCTGTATCGTATCTTGCAGTTTTTGTTTCAGCTTTTGATACTCTTTAAAGAGTTCGCCGTTGTAGCTCGGCTCGATCAGCGGCTGATTCGTTTCGGGCAACATCGGTCGAATGGGTTCCCCCGTTACTTTGGCTGTTGGCTTGTCGGCCAGAGAGTCGCGCCGCGAGCTTCGCGCCGTCGACGGCGTAGGTGATTCTCTGCCGGGTTGACGTCGTTCCGGCGTGGAGGCCGTCGATGGCTCGGTCTTCGACCGATCCAAAGCTAGAATTGAAAAATAAATTGAACAATTTATTCGACGTAATGAATGATTGAGAAGTTGAATTATTATAACGTGCATTCGGAATTCTCCGCGCGAGTTTCATTAGAATTACGTATGAAATTGTATAGCTCGAGCATCCCCGTGAGAAAAATGCGCATACCAATGCAGACGTATGATTATTTGGTAATGATAATAATTTCCCGCGCTCATTTAATCTTTCTGTAAGGCAAAACAAAAAGAGAAAAAAACCCATGCTGTACATACCTTCCGGGCTTTTTGATTGTCCCCTCGTCCTCGGAGGCGCCTTTGGCAAGGGCGTTGAATTATTAGTTTCTTGTATCGAAGGCAGCTGCTGGAACTCGGCGTAGCTCGAGCTCAGAAATACGTCGCCCTCGTTCTCGAACAGCCTAATTACACGATTACATACATTAGCTTCAAGATTTATAAAGGAAAAAAAAAATTAAAATCTACTTTTACCACTAACCTATCGACGCTGCTGTTCATCAGTTTGTTGTTCTTGAATCCAGTCAGATGAAAACTGGCGAACGAGCTCCTCGACATGATGGCGTCCTTGATGTCGCCCGTCGACAGCGCCATGAGCGCCGCCGAGGGTATGTTGACGTTCTTCTGGCCCCCTGCGCCGCTCGTCCCGAAGCTCGCCTCCAGGGCGGGCACGAGGCTGCGCGACATCATGTCCGTGACGCTGCGCGGCCTCGTGAACGGCATCGCGCTGTGCGGAAACGTCTTTGGCTTGATCGGCGTGATGAGCATGTGCTCCGTCCAGGAGGTCTCGAGCGAGGGACGCTCCAGCCGGACGATGTCCACGTGGAGGGTGCGCTGGGCGAACGGCACCGCGAACGTGTCCGGCGGTATCGACTGCAGCCACGACAGCAGACTGAGATCGGAGTCGCTGAAGCCCACCGAGCCGTCGAGCAGCCGGGAAAACGACATCTCTACCTGCAAAATTGACAGTAAAGCAAAAAGTTAACGATCGGTCGAATTATCGCGATCGTGAAAAAGTATAATTACCTGCTCGATCTCTTTCGATCCCGTAGCTTTGGCCTGGCAGTACTGCACGCACGACTCGTACAGAATGCCCTTGATTATCAGCTGAACGAGCCTGTCGTTCTTGGCCACCGTCACCGGATGCGCCGGATCTGGCTTCCTGTCGCCCGGCAGAAACTTCTCCACCAGGGGATAGACCTCGCGAAAGCACTGCACCCGGGCGTTGCTCGGATTCCAGTCCTTGTACTGCAGATGATCGCTGAGCCTCGGCAGGGTGAGCATCAAGCAGAGACTGCTGTACTCCTCCTTGCTGGGGGCGTACTTCTCGAGATCGTTGAGCACCTTGACGACCTCCTCGACGGCGTTGTCGACGCTGCCGTTGGACGCCACGCCGCCGCCGTTGTGCAGATTCGCCTCGGATTTTATGCAGAGCAGCTCCACGTATTTGTGCCTGGGAGGAACAAGGACGATTTTGCATTAAAAAAAAAGGTGTTCTTCGATGGAAAATTTACAATTTTTAAGTATCGAAATTCCGATCGCGCAATTACGTTCCGCGCACACGCAATTTCCAATGTGCGACGAGCTTCGAAGTTGTGTTTCGAAACTTTCACATACCGATGAGCGACACGAATTATAAACGCATCGTTATTACTACCAATGAGCTAATTATCATCGATGTGACATTGAAAAAATTTAAAAATGATTTTTTTTTTATATTAAACAAATAAAATTCTGTCATAAATCGAAGGCCAGCAGAGCGAACTCACCTAAGTATCGAGTAGGTGAACCTGCGCATGTCGAAGTCGGGCAGCGCCTCGAGCGGCTGTATGAACTCGAGCACGTCGTCCCATTGTCCGTCGAGAATGAGCTGCCTGAGGAACAGGCCGTCGTCGCTGTACTGGCCATTGATCACGCCCGTCTCGCGCTCCAGCGACAGCTGCGATATGTGCAGATCCCGATTGTGCAGGAACTCGAGGGCCAGACGCACGACGTCCTCCTCGCGCATCGTCAGATGCGCCGCCGGCATCACGTAACGAACACGTAGCCTGTAAAAGATAATGTATATAAAATTATAAAATACTGGCAAGCGAAAAAATTATTATCGCGATGATATACGCGCGCGCGGTTCTTCTCCCGGCGTGGGTGAAGAAGATGATGAAGAAGGAGAGAGGAATATTATTGTATAGAATAAAATCGAGGGCAGCTATATGGCCAATCGCGTGATTTGGCCGAAAATTTGAAATTCAAAATCGATCTCACTGAGAGCAGCTTCGATGCATTAAATCACGAAAACGACTAGTGGCCTGCTGCTACTTATTCTGCGGCTGGCGGCGTACTTTAAGACTAGACCTCATTGGTAATTCATCATCCTAATTTATTCATTATCGAGCGTCTCTCCCTCTCGACTACTCGCCAAAGCGGCGTATCACGCGAACTTCTCAAAGTCAGACGTTCACCCGAGAGTCTGCTACTGTGTATATATATGTGCAGCGGCAAATCCGCAGTCGTATATACAGTCTCTCTATCCCTCCGTGTATACAGCTGCACGTGTAGCGTATAAAAACCTAACTGCAATGGACATGCATCATAATAATCGGAGAGCAATGAACTTGGATGCATTCATGAATTGCGGCACATATATACATGGGTCAAAATAATACTTTTTTACAAAACCGTGCGCACGTATGTCACCGATCTTGACGCGCTTTTGGTATGTTATAGTACATGGTAAAAAGGTCCTAAAAACGAAATTTTAGACCCCCTCCCCCCTCCTACCCCCCACTTCGGGTATAAACGTCCATTTTCGATCTATATTTTTTCTGAGGACATGAAGCAAGTAAAAAATCTGAAAAAATTCATAAAAATACTTTTCCACAATCCAAACAACCTTGAATTTTTTCAGATTTTTTGAGTGCTTCAGGCCTTCAGATAAAATCATTGAAAATTTCAAAAATCGAGATACGGCGGTATGAGCCGATGTAGTACTCGGAAATTTTTTCAGTTATTTTTCGCATTAAAAAACATAACCTCAATTTTTTTCAGATTTTTTCAGATTACCTAACGCACCTTTTGAAGCCAAAAACCGATTTTTTTGACGAAAATAATTTTTTTAGGACAGTACGGAGCCTCGAAAAATCTGAAAAAAATTTTTTCTTGTTTTTTTCATCAAAATACGTAATCTCAAATTTTTTCAGATTTTTTAATTGAAGGCGATAGCTTCTAGGGCCGAAAAATGCTATTTTTAACAAAAAATGGTTCCTAGAACCCGATGGTTCCGGTGAAAAAATTTGAAAATATTTTTTTTGAATTCCTTGTCAAATTTTAATAAATTTTGACCGTTTCAAAAGTTCGATTGAAGCTTCCTAGCTCATTTTAGAGCATCAAACGAGTTTTATCATTCCTTAATGTCTTCAGAAACGTCTTCAGATATTTTGCACTAATCTTTGTCCTGCTCTAAAATGAGCTAGGAAGCTTCAATCGAACTTTTGAAACGGTCAAAATTTATTAAAATTTGACAAGGAATTCAAAAAAAATATTTTCAAATTTTTTCACCGGAACCATCGGGTTCTAGGAACCATTTTTTGTTAAAAATAGCATTTTTCGGCCCTAGAAGCTATCGCCTTCAATTAAAAAATCTGAAAAAATTTGAGATTACGTATTTTGATGAAAAAAACAAGAAAAAATTTTTTTCAGATTTTTCGAGGCTCCGTACTGTCCTAAAAAAATTATTTTCGTCAAAAAAATCGGTTTTTGGCTTCAAAAGGTGCGTTAGGTAATCTGAAAAAATCTGAAAAAAATTGAGGTTATGTTTTTTAATGCGAAAAATAACTGAAAAAATTTCCGAGTACTACATCGGCTCATACCGCCGTATCTCGATTTTTGAAATTTTCAATGATTTTATCTGAAGGCCTGAAGCACTCAAAAAATCTGAAAAAATTCAAGGTTGTTTGGATTGTGGAAAAGTATTTTTATGAATTTTTTCAGATTTTTTACTTGCTTCATGTCCTCAGAAAAAATATAGATCGAAAATGGACGTTTATACCGGAAGTGGGGGGTAGGAGGGGGGAGGGGGTCTAAAAATTTTTTTTTGGGACCTTTTTACCATGTACTATAACATACCAAAAGCGCGTCAAGATCGGTGACATACGTGCGCACGGTTTTGTAAAAAAGTATTATTTTGACCCACATACATATAGCTTATAGGCTCTCTATCTCTCTTTCTCTCACTCTTTGCTGTATGTGCCGTATAGCTCGAACGAAAAATTGCGCAAGTACGAAAGTGCAAAATGCGGTGCATGTGGGAGAACTTATACGCCAAGTACGTGATGATGAACTCTGCGCAAAGGGATTTCTCTGCACACGCCTTCGAGTGAAGTTATTATGCACGCGAGATTGTATTACCTTGGCTACGATTTCGTTGAAAGCGAACTTTTTTTCTTTTTCTTTTTTTTTTTTTTTTTGGTAAAATGAAAAAAGTTGGAAGACGTTAAAACTCGTACAGCATTTTTAAATGTGTGTTGCGTGTGATTGTGACGCGCAACAATTTTGTATTTGTTTCAGCACATTGTTGTACATGCCTTGTAAACACGTTCGATTGATTTCTCAACCTTCAAAAATGACTGATGCAAACGATGCATACCACGAGAAAAAAAATCGTTGCCGTTTCAGCAAATTTCATTCTTACTCCCAAGCGCGCTGCCCTCGTAAAATTGTCCATGGGTGCGAAAATTTTTCGCGTCGACACATTCGCTGCGTCGATTTTTCGGCGATCCCGACGTTCGACGATCAGTCTGAAAAGCTCCGCGGAACCGACAACAAGTTAAAAAAATTATTAAAAAATTCACGATGTCGGCCAAAACGGTAGCAATGGTACGAAACACGATAGTTTATAACTAAACGGTTTTCATTTACTCTTTACAAGATAGCTTTTGAATTGAATTGGTTTATTAAAAATTATATTATTTTCTTCTACACAGCGAGTGGCACTTTTGCTTGTTTTATTGAGTGCCGTCAGTGCCCAAACGGCTGGAGATTCTACAAGCGATTCCAAGACGATTACCATTGACAAAAAAGTAGCACATCATCAAGCTACTATACAGCCTTATTCTACTTACGCATCCAGATCACAACAGGTTCGTAATTATTGCTATTTTTATATTAACCGCTACATGTAATATGAGTCATGTTAGTTAATTTTGAAAATTATACTTTTAAGTGCACTGAATTTGACATATACACCAATAGCTAAGTTATTAACGTAATCATCACTAAAATAGTATTAGCTTAATTTTTGTATGCATAACACGATGATTTTTCTTTTATAAAGACCCGAAATGTCCGTAAATGTACTAAAAAAACCAGTTCGTCCTTAATGCGAAAACGGAAAACTAGCAGATATCGTAAATTATCGAAAGAACCTACAACGACAATAGAACCAGCCCCAATACATCTAGACTTTCCTTGGACCAGGCAACACTTACGCAAATCGAAATCCCGACGCGTAAGTACAATTTGTACTTAAAATGTAGGCTCTAGGTGAATTTTTTGTTTCTTTCGCGAAAGCCCCTCGATTTTTTTTCGCGTGATCCGGTGCGTTAATTCAACTTGAAAGAATTGTTCGTTCTTGAATGATAACACTTTTCATAATTTATTTACAGAGCGCTCAGCACTACCCAAGACCGACTACCAGCATAAAATTGAGCGATGAACAAGTGACGAACAATCCTTATCTGCCGAAAGCTGAGGCGAGCACTGGAGTATCGGACGCAAAGTCGATCGAGGCGCGCCATGCCAAAAATTACAAAGTTCGATCGCCGAGTAAGTCCGAATTTCAATTCAATTAAAAGACTTTATTGTCGAACGGCCAATAGACTAATAATTAATTTTTTTTTACAGACGGTAACAGCGACGGCTTGGAAAATTATTTGAATAAAGCCGCCAACCCTCAGGAGCCTTTGGACAAACAAACAGTCCAGGATATTACCAATAGCGCAGTAGGTTGCACTCTGGATTCGATCGCTCGAAATATGAGCAACAAGCCTGGCTCCGTGCAGCAAAAGGCCGAGAACGTTACCGTAAGACTTTTTTCTATTTTTATCGCTTGCATCGGTTTAAAAATTACTAATTAATAAAATTGATCGCCTTTACAGGTAACGACATCGGAAAAGGAAATAACAACCGATCTGATCAACGAGTATCTGAAAATAGTCTCACCCCCCGGCGAGCAAGCGCAGGCTAAACAAATGCAGACATCGGAAACATTGAGAACGGCGATGGCCGAATTTCAAAAGAGCTTGGCCGACTGCGTGTTAATGCAAAAAGCTCGCGCGTCCATGGAAAAGTCCAATCAGATCGAAAATCAAAGCCAGAGCGTTCAGACGGTTCAAAAAACAGTCAGCACGCAAACGCAGCAGCAGCAGCAACAAGCGATCTCTGGAGCGGTGCAAAATAGCCAACAAAACGGAGCTGCCGGACTCTGGCAAAATTCAGCCAACGTAGCCAACAACATCGTGGGCCAGCCTTTGCAGTCGGCGGCGCAGTACATTCAAAAGTCGCTCGATGTCAATATCAATAATTTGCCTCCGGTGCCTTACAGACAAAATTTGCAAGTGTCGCAAGGTCAACAACAACAGCAACAACAGCAGCAGCAAAGTCAATACTATCAAACGATCAGTCAAAGCGCAAACAACGCCAAAATCGGCTACGACGCTTACAACTCCGATACTTTCGGCTACTCGTATCCTCATCTGCTCGAGTACGCCCAGAGCTTGATGCAAAATTCCGGCCCGGTGAGCAACCCCTCGGGCGCCAGCAGCATCTCTTGGAGCTACTCGTCTCAGCCAAGCGCGAGCTACATCCAGACTTATCCGATAAGTTACACCATTTCCGGAGGCGAGCAGCAGCAGCAGCCCTCTCTGCAGTATCTGTCGGGCTACGTCGAGAGTCAGTCTCCCGCGAAGAGAGCCGCCCTGGACGACATCTGGAAGTCGGCCAACAATTTCGCGGGTAGCATCGTGGACACGTCGACGAAGAGCGGCCCGGTGACCGGCGGCCAGGTTCTGGGCAGCATCGGCAACATCTGGAGCTCGGCGAGCAACTTGGCGCAGTCGATAGGAGGCGCAGCAACGCCTCGAGGCGGCCAGTTCCCGATCAAGGCGAGAGCCATTCCCGTGTCGCCGCCGCAACTCGGGATGACGCACACGATACTGCCCGCCTCGTTGCTGCAGCCGGGCGCCAACCTGGCCCAGGAGATAACGCGCATCGCCACCGATCAGCGGCCCATCACGGCCGATCGGGTATTCGACGCGACGAGCTCGCTCTTCCAAGCCGGCCAGAATCTCTACAATTCGTACGGCAATCAGAACGGCGCTGGTGGCCAGGCGGCGCCCGTCCAGCAGTCGGTAGCCTCGCTCTTCCAGCCGGGCCAGGATTTGGCCAAGAAGATCACGGAGGTCGCCACGGACCAGAGGCCCATCACCGCGGACAGAGTGTTGGACGCGACCAGCAGCCTCTTCAAAGCCGGCGAAAATTTGTACAACGCCAACAGCAACAACAACAACAACGGTGGTGCAGCAGCGGCCTCGAGTGCCAGCGACGTGGTAGGCGCTCAATTGAGGGCGCTGAGCAGCGCGTGGAGAAACGCCGGTTCGAGCGCGCAGGGCAGCCTCAACGACGCGTTGCAACAGGCCACGGCAGCAGTCAACAACGCCGCCAACCCCGCCATCACGCGCGGCGCCTTCGGCATGGGCCCCTACTACGCCGGAGGTTACTTCCCGAGAAATAGCCAGTCGTCGTCGTCGGCGGCGGGAAGCGTCTACAATTCCGCGGCCCAGTTGGCCAGCGACATCATCGACGCGAGTCAGGCCAACTCGGGCCAGACCGGATCCGGACCGAACGTCATTCCTCTGGGGGTAGTTTCCAAGTCGACTCTGGAGATGGTCGGAAATATTCTGAACGCCGCTAACAGCGTGGATGGCGTGCATCCACGTTTTTATCAGAAGAAGAAGTAGATCGAATATCTTCATACTCAATCATGTTATTCGCTTCATTTTTGTATAAACATTGTTAAACTAATTTTCTTTTAACATACGTAACATAGAAGGTAAAGAGAATTTTAATAATTCTCTTGTTATACTGTGTATAATTACGATTATAAGGGTTTTTAAACTTTTTGTATGGATACGATTATTTGATATTTAGCCAATTTTATTCGTTGTAATGCGATACGTACAATGTTTGTAAAATATGTCTTTTTAAAAATAAAAATCGAAAGATCTTACGGAACTTTAACGTACATTTTTCCGCAGTACTCACGTTCGAATTCACCGGACGTAAGGTTCATAAAAAAGGGATTTTAAAAGTACGTTCTTTTTTCCAATAAGTATACCGCAATGCCGAGGCAGGTGTTAAATTCCAGATTTTAATATCACTCGACTTACATGCAGACATGCAGCTTCTCACGGTAATATACTTCGACATCAAGAGAGAGAGAGAGAGAGAGAAAAAGAGAGAAAAAAAATCGATAGCTCTCTAGTTTCCTCGCTTTTTCTTTTTTTGAATTTAACTGCTGCCGAGGAAATGCCAGTTTCTTCGTACACCGCAAAGATACATTTTCATTCATTCACCAGCGTGTTTAACAATTACAAGTACAAAATAAGGTTGCAAAGATAATTTTTTTAAGTTGAAGTTCGTTGGAGTTTATACGGCTAAATTTATATTAAATCTGGAAAATGGTAGGTAAAGCGATTGTCGCACGGTGCTTATTAGTAATTTCCTGAGCAAGCTAAAAATGTCAGCGCAAGCAACACGAGGCGTTTATTATCCCATACGTGAAAGATAAATACGACTGATATGTGTCTCGCTCGTTTTCTTCGTACAGCTACACGAATCGGTTAAAGGTGTTTAAGAGTGTAAATTAAAAAATTCCCTCGATCCTTTGAGGAAATGAGACGGCAAATGCATAAGCAATGATTTACATTAGCATAGAAAAATGATCAAAATTTAAAAAAAAAAAAAAAAAAAAAAAAAACGGAGTAGCTATACAAGGTATGGTATATAGCTGCTCTCGAGAAGTCATAAACCTTTGACCTAGCCACGCGCTCCGCGCAATCGCTAGCCTCACGCAAACGCACAAGGTGTCAGAGACGATTAACACCGGGTGCCTCTGGTTGCAGCAGCTCGAGCTTTAGAAAAGATATCGATCTTTCCGAAGGCACACGTCTCTTTGAATCCATATACGGCGCGGCTGGAATATCGTTACGCTTTTTAAAGCGTCCGCTGACTGCGCGGCTCGACTTCCGACTATGCGCGAGGTGCGCGCGAAGAGAGTAACGCGCGCATTTGTATTATAGCTGAAGCATGCGAGAACGAAAAAGAAGTGCGCATCGCGATTAGCGGGACACGCGGCTCCGCTGTACGTTGGTTGATCGTATTTAGATCGTGGATAATTATGAGTTTGCAGCTATTTGAAAGTGTTTTCGCCGTATCATTATCTCGAGATCTCGTCGAACTTTGCTTTCGCTGCGAAATCGACCGAACGCGCACCGTTTTCGTTAGATTATCTGCATTCGCGAACGATCAACTGCGGTCGAATAAACCGCGCCAGCTCGCCTATTCGTTGAAAACGAAAAAAAAACTTTGCAAGCACGCTGCAACATACGAGAGCAATAATTGTTCGGTGCTTGCGGGGGATGGTATTTTCATGTAACTCCATTGTAAAAGCTCTGCAGTCGGCTTGCATACAATCGCCTACATAGAACACACAGAGTGCATAGTCGCGCGTACACAGGCATTATTATTCTCCATCCAACTTCTATCTATCTCCCTCTTCTCTCTCTCACATTTTCCTATACACGTTGCGCCGCAGCTCGTATTGTGTCGCGCAACGCGACCGTACGTACGTACGCGATACAATGCCAGAGCTATGACAATAAAGCTCGCGATGGGAAAAAAAGCTTGATTAAGGGCGGATTAAGTGCAAGAGCGAGTGAGAATGAGACATTGAAGCTAGCGACAACGACGGGTGCATCGAACTCTTTTTCTCCGAACGTGAGCCGAATTTTTATTCCTCACCCAGATTATGAATAGAACACACCCGCGTGACGAGAACAGCATGTTTTCCTTCAACGGCATGCTCGCGCGCTGAGGTAATAAAATCAATGAGCCACGACGACGAACGATCACGAGGGCTAATATAGGTTCATATTTACCACGCTACGCACGAGACAAAACAATTCCACGCAGCCATTACGTATAACGTTTATGAGATTTCACGCTCTTACGGCAAAAATCGATCCCAAGAAAACTACTGCTACTGCTACTGCGCTCGGAAAGATTTAAACAAACAAACAAAACCTCGTGCTTACGAGTGCACGACTATCGACTACTTATAGTTACCGAAAGGTCGTCTCGGTTACGTATTACGCAGGCGTTAGTTACGCAGGCGTCGTCGTCGTCATCGTCGTGCAAGAAAGAGAGAGAGAGAGAGAGAGAGAGAGAAAAAGTGTACACATCGCTGCAGTGCGGTGCATTATATACAGAGAGACGACGCGGTGTGGTATACACGTATAGGGTCAACGAACAGCTCGGTATAAAACTGTGTCAAATAGTTTCGACAACTCCACACTACTGCTTCCTTTTGCTTGACGGTGCGCGGCGCAAATCGTTTCTCTGCTGCCAAACGAGCCGTGCGCTATAACTGCTCTCGATTATACGTGTACAGCTCTTATATACATTGGATTCGATCTTCGCGCGATATACGTCAAAGCAGGTTTCGGATTTATTTCAAAAAGCGCTGAGTATCTTCATCTCTCTGTTTTTCTCTCTCGCACCAGCCCGTGCTAAGCCCTTTGGGATTCTATATACACATATAATACGCAATCATCGTCCGCGTGGCTCAACACGCATTGTTTCAACTTTGGCTCCGACAACAATGGGCTAGTGGTCTGCTGCTGCTGCTGCTGCTGCTGCTGCTGCTGCTGGCCTGGCTGGCTGGCTGGTGTACGGCAGATAAAGCGCGCGCGAGCTATAATTAAAGGAAGCCACGAAGTGAGCATCTACGACCGCGCAGAAGTGGCAAGCTGTACATACTGCTGCCGCTGCACTTGTTTTGTTAAATACGTATACGACTCCCAAGAGCAGCAAAGGGAATAGCGAGAGATAAAAGCCGGAAGTAAGAGACGAGCGAGCGATATAAGATTTTTTTCTTTCTCTGTTTTTGTTTACGCGTATATATATACGCGTAACGATACTGTACACTACGCGACGACGAGTTGCTTGCTGGCACGTGCCAACTGCAACGCCTGCATTAATTATCTGCTGCTGCTGCTGCCGTCGTCAACGACGCGTCGTGCATGTGCCACGGGATCGCGGACACGCGTTTCGCGCGCAGTCGTGATACGGTTACACGCGTACCGAAGCGTTAAATACTCCGGTTAATAAGTAGTATACGCGAGAGGCTGATTGAGAGGCCAGGCCCGTAATTCATAATTATAATATATTCCGGCTTTGATAAAGTCTCTCCGACGTGGCGCTCGTTTAACGCCTTATTGAGCGTCATCAATCTTGGCATTGATACAGCCATTAGCACCCGTGATATACCTTATATTTACCCAAGCCTACTGCTATAGCCTTGAATTATTAAGTTATACACGACCATCATCTTACTAGCTTCCATTGTGGAACTACGCGCAGTTTAGTTTCGCACGTGCAAGCGCAGACAGGCAGGCAGGCAAGCAGGGACGCGTCGAGAGCGATTAAAAGCTCGTACATTATTACGCACGGACGCGTGTATCGCTCCGAGTCAAACGTTCGCGTATAATCCGGATCGTTAGTGCGTTTGTAGTAACGGCATATACTAGATCGTAGTAATGGTAAATATATAGCTTGCGTGCGTGCGTCGTCGTCGTCGTCGCTCCTGTCCGTGCAGAGCCTCCCTTGGTTTGGCGCTCGACGAGCTTGTATTACAGCTGCCTATTGTGCAAAAAAGAAAGCCCCGCGAGCCACCCTATAACTCGGACCCTCTCTCCAACGCGTGTGTATTACGCGTTCGCACGTACGCGGTAGAGCTTATAGGCACTAGCTCGAGTTGCGGTGCTCTGCGCACAACCCCTTCGCAAGCTTGTTTGCGTTCGCAAGACATTTTACAATATGTGCATAAGCGAGAGGTAGAGAGACACGAATGATTTATTCACTTGTTGTCGTGCCAGAGGCGCGCAGAGAGAGAGAGAGAGAGAAACTTTTTTTCTCTCGCTCATTGTTCGCTTGATTATTCATTTATTATATACGCTCGTCGACTGGATGAATAGTAATTTTTTTGATTGAAAATTACGACGAGGACGACGCGTCGAGAGCTTAGAGAGACGATTTGACAGCTCGAACGAAAGTACACACATGTAGCTACTATACAATATTTACGAGCGGATCGTCGTACAATAATAATCATGCTCGACCAATTTCGAAATCTTCCTACGCGCGAAACGATCTATTATTTACCTCTGCATGCGGATTGATCGCCTGCATATGCACTTCTATTTATATATATATTATTCTGCATACGTATTACACAGTGATTTATTCTCACTCGGTGCGCGATAATATTAGGTGGTACACCTTTTGATATTCCGCGATTGCAAAAGCGCGCGACTGTCTAGTTTTGTGCTGCAGTTTCGCCTTTGGTCGCGAACGCGCGATGAATTGTATTAACGGTACAGCTGGCGCTCTGTACATTTAAAATTTTCCAAAAGAATCGACTTTTGTATCGCGAATATAACCACGTACGATTTATGGCACGCGAGAGAAAGAGACGTGGAAAATTTGAAAATTGATGGATATTTTAACGATCTAGAGAGAGAGAGAGAGATTCCAGAAATGTAATACTCGTATAGTATGGTATAATGTACAGGATATAAAATTGATATTACTCAATTTTCTTAAGCTTAAATCTCTCGCAAGGCCGTGTACACGAGATAAGCGTTCGTAGCGCCTCTGGTCATTCTGCGCCGTAAAATCTATTTTAATAGCAAAACTACATCGATTCGAAATATAAATATCGCACGATCGGTAAAAAAAGCGCAAAGAACTGCGAGAGATATAAACAGGTCGCTGCGATGCACCGAAGACATTTAATGTATAACTATACTACACACGTATAATAAAGCTTGTTGCGAGTTGTACGTGCGCGCAACGTCCAAGCATACTGGAGCAACGTCCGTTCCGGACTGCGGGCTTGGCGCACTCTATCTCTCTCTCTCTCCCTGGTGCTCAGCTGGGTAATTGAAGCCAAG